GTGGCTCTTCTTCTGAACAAAATAATGGAGGGGCATGGAACCGTGACGGTGAGCTGTGGGAAGCTGTATGCCCCAGGCGTGGAGTGGTGGTTGTTCCTGCCTGCACTGAAGGTGAACATGAGTGTAGAAATGCAGGCAAGGCTGATTAGTCATATGCCTTTCATAATATCCTGTATTTGAATCACACTGGGCTCGAATGCATACATTTTTTATGTATCTATAATGGAACCAGATCTGCGAGCTGCGGGATTTAAATTGCATTATAATCACTAGTATCACATTGTGGTCGTATTAGAATCACACTATCCACTGCTGGATCTGCCCTCTCAATGGATTCATATATATACAGAGTATGATTATTCGACGTTTACGTATTGATTTTTTAACTGTTGAATTCCTGAAAGCTTCCAGCTGTAAGTAGCAGCTCGGGAGGACCGTGGGGTTAGAGCGGGGATATAAATGCGGCGCTTTTGGTTCGTGCCTACTTGTCCAGGCTCACTTTATCGCCACCACTTTTATAATTTTGATCAGCCAAAACTTAAGGCATTTCAAGAGGGGTTGGTTTGTTTTGAATATTTTAGATCACCCACCCAGCATATCTCTGGGACCATCCAATGCGCAGGCGATACACCACAGGATGACCCTTTCATCCCGACATTCACACCTGAGCCTACGCGTTCCCTAACACTCGCACACCCTGAAGGCACTTGTAGCCTTACGTGGCATTGTCTGCCACCCACTGTTGGGCCACATTCCCTAGAAAGCCGACTTCAAGGTGAAGCTCGACACCGAGCGTCGTGGGCCACCGCCGGCCTGACACCGTCGTCGTCAGGGGAGAGGAAGCGAGACGGCGCCTCCTGGCTCCTTTCCACCATAGGGAGGTGTCAGAGGCAGCCTCCTTGAGGCCCAGGACCGGATCAGGTAATCGTCGCTGATGTTGAGCAAGAATTTAACGTGAGCGAGAATTGAGCTGCGTGCTAACCACTACACTACCACTGCACTACCACTGCACTACCACTGCACTACCACTGCACTACCACTACACTACCACTGCACTACCACTGCACTACCACTGCACTACCACTACACTACCACTGCACTACCACTGCACTACCACTACACTACCACTACACTACTACTGCACTACCACTACTATACCACTACACTACACTACCACTACACTACCATTACACTAACACTAAACTACCACTACTATACCACTACACTACCACTACACTACCACTACACTACCACTACACTGAGCATGTTCATACACACAGCAGTGTAACAGGATAACAACGTTTTGTGATTATTTTCACAGGTTAAATATTAGCAAATTATTTTAATAAACAGAATAGACAGAAAGGACAAGTTCAAAGGGCTCGCATAATGCACACGCGTAATGTACATTCCCTCAGTAATCCCCCCCATCCCCCACATTGTGCAAGAGCGCAGCTGCGTGGTCAACACATCTATGCTTCTATATAAGGAACGAAACAGTGAGACTTCCCAAATCTGGCTGTCGACTGATGAGGCTAGTTTTAATTACAGACGAAACGTCGTGCTCAGATTGTAAATGTTGTGGCTTGGCTCTCCAACACACCAGTGTGCTGTACTAGTGACAAATCTGCATGTTCTGTTTACATGACAATCCGTAGTAGTTGGCTGTGTCGGGTGGTGTCGGGTTTTAACGACACATTTATATATTTAAGCGATCTAACCCAAAAAACCTTTAATATGGGCACTATAATAAACCATGCTTACAAGCTAAACCATTCAGATGATCATTCAAAGTTCACGGAAGGAATTATAATATAAAACACTCGTTTTCTAGAAGCACCCCGCTCAACACGATTGTCCTTAAATATATTTATAAAACAAAGTCAGTACAGTATAAACTTGCACATCTTATTCCAAATCAAGCTCGAGATCACCAATTTTGATACTTCAGACTGTATGTCACTTTATCATCCTCTAAACTTGCAGCAGTTTAGAGGACATTGGGGGGTGAATATTAGAAAATTAACACGAAGCACGGAATTATGCATGGAGATGCACATCCTTATTCAAACGGAGGTGTACAATTATGCAGTGATATGTATTATGTTGCTAGATATGCAGATTGTTAATGTAAAAATTAACAATTGAATGCAAAGTCCATGATAGGCCAAGTTGAGAACAAAGGATTTGAATGCGAGAGCGAAGTTATAAGGGGCTTAAAATCAGACCTCAAGGTTATTTCGAGAGGGATTTTGCTGAGGATAGACGCTCGACTCCTCGCTCTGCAGATAAACCTTCTTCCACGAGACCCAGCCTGGTGAGCACGATTGCTTGGCGACTGGTTGGCGACTTCGCTTCGGGAGAATTCGTGGTGATCTCTTCAGACGGGTTCCAGGGTCATCGATACGCCGTGCATCAACACTTACGAGACGTTACTGTGTCTCAGTTAGACGTTGGTAAGAATTTGCATATTGGCGATTTGAGCCAGACATCCACACAGCTTAGAGTTTGCCTTTAATAATCAACAACACCCGCGACTGTTACTCTGCTCTGAAGAATCAGTCACATGGAGCAGAACAACTCTCCGCAGCGCCACGCACACACGGGTGAGCAGCCTTTCAATTGCTCCGTGTGTGGGAAGGCGTTTTCGCGGAAATCAACTCTTAACAGACACCAGAAAACACATACGGGCGAGAAGCCATTCCATTGTTCTGTGTGTGGGAAGGCATTTGCATGGAAAACAATTCTTCAAAGTCACCAAAAAACACACACGGGCGAGAAGCCATTCAATTGCTCTGTGTGTGGGAAGGCATTTGCAGATTCATCAACTCTTCGCAATCACCAGAAAACACACTCAGGTGATAAGCCATTCAATTGCTCTGTGTGTGGGAAGTCATTTGCAGATTCATCAACTCTTCGCAATCACCAAAAAACACACACGGGCGAGAAGGCGTTCAATTGCTCTCTGTGTGGGAAGCCATTTTCACGGAAATCAAATCTTCATCGTCACCAGAAAACACACACGGGCGAGAAGCCATTCAATTGTTCTCCGTTGGAGAGGACACGATCATCACCCCGAAACAAGCATGAGAAGATCCGCAATGAAAGTGAAATCAAAAGGAGAAATACAGAGTGCTGCAATGAGTCCTAAAAAAATGCATCTTTCGAACCTATGCAGGTGGATCCTGAGAGATGCGTGGATGTAGTGGATGTACTGAGCCCTGACGACAATTCCTATTTCGACCCCATGCAGGTTGATAATGAGAAATGGCTGCTGGAGTGGCTGGATAATCAAAGTATTGAGTACTTCTGGTAAAGTCCTGGAATGTGCACGTTTGTGTCTCTGTTAGATCAATTTATTAGGTGCAATTGATTATATCAGTGATTTCCAGCACTACAAACTGGTGTAATTCTTTTAACAAAACCGTTTGATTGCTCTATGTGTTGGAAGCATTTTCACGGTCAGCAACACTTCACAGGCATCATCAAACAAAGAGTAAAAATGTTGTCATGAGTCCTCAACGAAATTCCTCTTTCGACCCCATGCAGTTGCATCCTGATAGATGGCTTGATATAGTGGAGTGGCTGGAGAGTCATATTCGTGTCGCTTATATATATTTTTCGGTGATTTCTAGGACTTCAAGCTAGAGTGATGTTGTGAATACTCTATAATGTGTTCAGATGAATGTCTTCCTTTAAAGTTCCAGAAGTGTTCACTTATTTCAGAATGACAACAATTTTATACTTTGGACGAATGGCTTCAGTCGAAAAGGACGTCAAAGGGGAAATCGACGTTTACGTGTTTGATTTCAAGAATATCTTTTAACTGTTAAATTCCTATTGGGAAATAATTTGCCTAGTTCCATTCCTGTTTGAGCCAGCGTATTAATAAAGATTTCGATACGAGTATTAACGTGAGTTTTCTTGCAGATTAATAAAGACCTGATTTGTTTTTAAAAATGACTAATCGTACGTTATTGCTACCATAGTTTTCCTTTAAAAAAAACACGGACGAGTAGACATACACACACGAGTGTGCATCCAAACACGACTGTATATACAGCGTTGTACATTCACACACGAGTGTGCATGTGTTTCTACGAGTTTTAACGTTAATATACTTGCAGAACAATAAAGACCTGCTATGTTAAAGATGACTGATCGTCCCTTATTGTTACAATGTTCATAGCGAACACGTGTGGAGGCGAGTTTCAGGTGAAGCATCTCCATCACACAAGTTTACCCTTACCTGGCAGCATCGTGGCAGTTCGCTGGTCACACTCACTACGTTACACTCACGAGCTGTAGGGGCGGGGCTCTGTCTGCTCAGTGGCGCTGTTTTCATTCATTTAGCACCACGAGCGGGGAGTCTCATCCCTGTAGTTCCCTGTTGAGGTGGCGCATTCCTACCACGTTTCCCCTAAATTATTTGTACGACACAATATAAAAACAATTTGTTTGTTCCAATGCATAATCATACACGAGTACACATATACACTCCCATGTACACACACCCACACACGAGTGGACATACACAAAAGTACAGATCCATGTACATACAAACAGTAGTATACTTGTGTAATGCGGGCATAAACGGCCTCGCGGATATGACGTCACGGGGGGAGGAGTTAGGTCACGTGAGAGAGAGGGATGAGGTCTTAAGGGAGAGATACCGGAAGAAACGGGAGAGTGTTGGGAATAGAGACAGAGTGAGGCCACACAGTGCGGAGGTTGGAGAGTGGCGAGATCGCCACACACAGTAAGACTCGGCACCGTCGGCCAGCGGTGACGAGCACGGGGGAACAGGGAGCAGCGGTGGAGCTGCAGTGAGAGCAGCCGGAGGACTGCACAGCGGAGCTGCAGGAGCGCGAAAGGCTACGTGAGCGAAGGCAGCTGTCGAGCTGCTAAGCGGGGAGGCTCTGAGCGAGGGCCGTGTGGGACAAGTGTAAAGAACCCAAATAAAGGACAACGGAGACAGACCCAGTGAACGAGTCCTTTATTACACTTGCAAGCAATTCAACGTTATGTTGTGTCATCATGGGTTTATTTCACAAAGTTTAAAGTGCCAGCAACAACAATGGTATTGAACCTTATTCTTTACAGGAGTGGCTCTGGGTGGACATGCCACCACAAAGCAGCACGCGGCGGAGGAGGGAGGTGATCGCTCTCGCCACGCGAGCAAGGCCCCCTCGCTTCCTCTTCTTTCCCTGCATCACCACCTCCACCACCTGCACCTCCTCCACCTCCTGCTTTGTCTCGTCCTCCATCTCCTCCTCTTCATCCTCCACCACCATCTTCTCTCCATTCTCTGTCTTCTCCATTCCCTCCTCCTGTTCCTCCTCAACCTCTTCCTCCACCTTCTCCTCTTCCTGTTCCACCTCTGTCTTCTTATCCATCTTCTCTGCTTGGAAGCCCTCTTCTCCAAAGCTTGGAGCAATCGGGCCCTGTACAGGAGTGTCAGAGGTGGATGCGGTGGCGGTGGTGGTTGCAGCGGTGGTGGTGGTGGCGGCGGTGGTAGTGGTGGCGGCGGCGGTGTCGGTGGCGGCGGTGGTGGCGGTGGTGGTGGCGGCGGTGGTGGCGGCGGTGGTGGTTACTGCGGTGGTGGTGGTGGCGGCGGTGGTGGTGATGGCAGTGGTGGAGGTGGCAGTGGTGGCGGAGGGTTTTGTGGCAGTGGCGGCAACAGCGTCAGTGGCAGTGGTGGCGGTGGATGCGGTGGCGGCAGTTGTGGCGTTGGCGGTGGTGGCTGTGGTGGCGGTGGTGACGGCGGTCGTGGCGGTGGTGGCGGTGGTGGTGGCGGCGGGTTTTGTGGCAGTGGCGGCAACAGCATCAGTGGCAGTGGGGGTGGTGGTGGCGGTGGTGGTGGCGGTGGCAGTGGTGGTGGTGGCGGTGGTGGTGGCAGGGGTGGGGGTGGAGTTGCCGGCGGTAGCGGTGGTGGTGATGGTTGCAATGCTGGCAAGGCGCTGCTCCTGCTCAAGGCGCTTCTCCTCCTCGACGCGTTTCACGTTGGCGAGACACTTCTCCTCCTCCTCCAGATTCTTCTCCTCAGGACACATCATCTCGAGATGATGCTTCTCATCAATGAAGTACTTCACTTGAATGAGGCGCTTCTTGAGGAGATAGTCTCGGAAGTACTTCTCATCTGTGCGGCACTTCGCCCTGGCAATGCGCTGCACCTCAAAGAGGCGCTCCTCTTCCATGGTGCATCTTTCTTTGCTAAGGTTCTTTTCCTGGAGATGCTTCATCCCGCTGACGTCCTTCAACTCCCCAATTATCCTCTGATCAAGCAAAGATAAGCAAAAGAACATTCAGACATGCACATGCAAGAAAACATTCATACCCACAGGCACGCAAACGTGGACGTGCACATAAACCCAAACAAAAAAACATACTCACACATGTATGTACAGATGCAGCCATCCACATTCAGTCATTCAAACTTGCTTAGTACACACTTGAATATACACTATCACCTGCTGTTAACACAATGCCTTATCCATCAATACTTGTATCACATTGTACGTGTAGTACTAACCCCTAAATATCCCAACTCCTATAGAATGAAAATACATGTCACATCCTCATATATCCCCATAAACCCCATGCATGCACTCAAGACTTTGCTCGATTGTGGCGGTTTCATAGCAATTGTTGGCAATAATCATCACTGGCAATAGTTTTCACAGAATGTCCCATTATAAATATCTGGAAGCCCAAACTCTGGACAAACTTCACTGCAGCGCCCATAGTTTGGAACTGGAATGGTAACTTCCAATCAAATCACAGACATAATTAATGTGACTGCCTGATATCATTCTGTCTTCATTGGTAATAAATGGCCACTTCAAGTGCCTGCATGAGCGGGACGGTGAAGAGATGCGGTGATGGTGTCGGGACATGGTGTTGCGATATGGAGAGGAGAAGTAGTGGAATGTTCTAGAGAGATGGTGTATTGTGATGGTATAGAGGCATGATGAGGCTCTAATATGGTGTATTGAATTGGTGGTCGTGTAGTGTGATGAGAAGGTGATGGGGAGAGTTGGTGTCGTGATATTTTGGTGTGCTGGTGAGGTGACATGGTGTGCTCGTTGTCGAGAGAATGTCGTGTGTTTTAACCCCACAGACCCCATACACAACGTGCTCTCTTTTTGCCCCGCCCCCCCTCACAATACGTTCCATTCATTGGCTACCACATTCTGATAAGCTCCTCCCCCCTCCTCCCTCCTTAACTTGTATTTAAGAACTTGCATCTTGGAATCCCTGCCTCACTTGATACAGCAAATTCAGCTGTGACGGTCCCACCTGGGACGGAGACTTGTGTTGCCTCCGAAACGTCGTGATTTTTATTATTTTATTTTTATTAATTTTTATTTCATTTTATACCTACGTGACTTTACCGAAATAACTAAGAGTATGAATCCTTGCAGTCACGAAAGCTTCAAATCTAGAACCCATACACACCTTTGGGGAGCGATTCTTGTAACTTTGGCCTGGGAAAGGGTCCACCTTATCCATAACGTCCCCCCACGTGGTCGACTGGCACGCCGACTCCCGGGCTATGAAGAACAGAAAATGCATTCAAAGTACGAGTTATTAATTAGAGAACGAAGGACATGGAGTCTCACAGAACTAATTTTGAGATCCCAGTAATTACCGCTTACCACACAACAGGACCTGCTATTGAAAAATAGTCATCACATGGCAGTAAAACTTTACAAGTCATTTTTTTGTCGGCAATCTCAATTTTGGAGCTTTCGTGACTGGAGGAATTATTCTTTGGTTCTTTAGGTTAAGTCACGTATAAAGATAAAATAATAAATTAAATAATAGCATACTACGACGTTTCGATTGCAACACAAGCAATCATCATCAGGTATAAAATAAATAGCAACAAAAATCTAACCAGAAAACTATAGACAGACACACAAGCAGACAGACATCACAAAGACACGCAGAGAGAGAACACGTATTGGCAGAAAGAGAGAGGTCGTCTCTGTGACGAGGCCTTAAATATACAGAGGGGGCGGGGGCGGAGAGATCGTAAATTACATAAGCTTGAGACCCCAGTTTGAACAAAGATGGCAACAACTCAAATATAAACCCATCCTCTTTGCCACACTCGATCATTACGTCTTCCCATTACCACCAAGCCATGTCTACGAAAAGTAATTCATCAAGGAGTCTCCTCCTCCGCATATAATCCATGTGATGCAGGTATCTGGGACTTACCCTCATATTCATCCAAGATCTCAGCCCACGTGATTTGTCTGTCCATGTTGTTGGGAACGAGTAGATTTTGTTTGAAGTTGGATGGCCTGGGGAGGTTGGAACAACGCTCAGATTTAGCAAACTTTTGAATCACTCATCCTCCTAATTAATACATATTTGACCACTCATTGTATCAATCCAATCACTATCGTGACTATACTCTTAGGTTTTTTTCGGTAAAGTCACGTAGGTAAAAATAGATAAATAATAAAAATAATTAATGATAAAAATATAAATAATAATAGAAATAAAATAATATATCACGACGTTTCGGAGGCAACACAAGCTTCATCTTCTTGGTTCTTTCGGTAAAGTCACGTAGAAGGGAAGTAATAAAATAATAAAAATAAAACATAATAAAACAATTCTCACGACGTTTCGGCCACAACGCAAGCAGCCGTCCTCAGGTGAAAACCAGGTCCGTCGAGGCGACAGAGTCATGTGAGCCCACTGAATTGTAACAGTGATCTGCCACGGCTGAGGTGTTTGTCCTACCGTGTTTCAGGTCTGCTTTATGTTCACGGATGCGGTCCGAGACATGTCGTTTGGTTTCTCCAATGTAACTGCGACCACAGAGGCAACTTAGTTTGTAGACGCCAGGGTACTGTATGTCTGGAACCACATCTTTTACAGACGGGACCAGATCACGGATGTTATGTACTGTGTTGAATCGGACCTGGATCTTGTGTTTATTCAGGATTTTGGAGATCTTTTTTGTGACCCCAGCAATGTAGGGTAAGGTGATGGTTTTGAAAGGCTCTGCGCAGCTTCCGTCGGCCTTTCCTCCGTCTTCTCCACTGGACACGGATTCGCCATCTTTCTCGGGCAAGTCAGCACGCATCGGGCACCCGGCAGGTCCCAACACCTCACGCATCCGCTCGCACCCCCGTAGGCTTATCGGATGTTAATTGTCGGCATGCTGATTCAGTACCGCACACTATTACTCGGTGGAATAAATTAGCTCGGAGGGTGGTTGCGGCCGCGTCGGGGTCTTCTACGGTGCCGGGCACCATTTAAGGGGTAGACGTGCGTATTTTGGTGGACACAAGTGCGTCGGCCACCATCATTTCGGACGTAATTATTCACCTGTTATCCATCCCTGAGTCGCGGGTCCAGCCGGCTATCAACGCATGCATTGCCGCTAATGGGGGTGGCATGGGTATCATAGGACGGGTAGATGTCCACATTGCCATAGGGAATGTTGCCGCGTCGGGATCGGTTCTTATCTCCCGATCGTTGGCGGTTCCCTGTCTGTTGGGCACCGATTTTCTTCGTCGGATGCCTGTTAAAATCCTTGTGGATCAGGGCTGTTTAGAAATGCCAAAGGACTGTAGGATGTCTTTCCTGCCGTCCTTGTGGGGCCGCCCACCTCCGGGTCACGCCGTTCACGCACTTGCAATGTCACTGTGGAGATCCCTCCTGGTACGCAGATGCTCATCCCATTGCGTTACCGAAAGCGGTTGGAGGCCGCAGATAAGGCGGCGGGTGTGTTGCTGTCCCCGTCGAACTCCTTGGCTAAGGCTTTTTCTCTTACACCATTGGAACCTCATTTGCCAGTAAAAAATATGATAATTGGTTTTTTACCCTTCTATCTGGCAACAAAACTGACACCTTGTTTGCATAGACCACAATACCTGCAGTCATAATGCAAACAAAAAACATAACTCTGATAATGTATGCACTGTCCTTGAAGTTGATTGGTCCACACCCGAGACAGCTTTCCTGAGAGCCTAGTCTCACATTGGTTGGACCAGATGACGCCAAAAGGCGCACAACTCAAAGACATGACTGCAGGTATTGTGGTCTATGCAAACATGACTCCTTGTAAAAAGGTGTCAGTTTTGTTGCCAGATAGAAGGGGATAAAAACAATTATCGCTTTTTCTCTTGTCGCGGCTCAAACTATCGTCCAGACTGGACAAGCCCCGTTCTTGCAAGTGTTGAATGGGGGCCCGGAGCGTGTAGTCGTTCCGGCAGTGTGCGGTATTGGCCTATGCCACTACCGACTTCACTAGCCTTGATGGGGACCAGCCGAGGGTACTGGCTGCTGGCGTGTCTCGGGCCACTATGGATCGCAGAATTGTGCCGTGAGAATTTGTCCTTGTCCTCCACGCAGCGAAACGCATTGCGTTCACTGGTGTCGCAATACGCGGACGTCTTCAGCAGAGATGACTTTGATTTGGGTCGTACCTCGCTCTTGTCACGCCATATTGACACCGGTGCGGCACGACTGATATGTATGAACCCAGACCGCACGAGTCCTGCGGAAAGGGAGCACGTGCGTGGCGCGGTAGACGACATGTTGGCGGCCGACATTATTTCGCCATCCAACAGTCCTTGGGGCGCACTGGTGGTGTTGGTTATTAAGAAGGACGGCGGATCGAGGTTCTGTGTTGATTTTCGCCGACTGTATAAAATATCCGTGACGGATGCGTACCCCCTGGACGACTCGTTAGACGCCTTGTCGGGTGCTAATTTTGTCTCTACCCTGGACCTCTCGTCGGGTTCTTGGCAACTTCCCCTTGATGATGCGTCGAAGCCGAAAATGGCGTTTCGCACGCCGCAAGGCTTGTTTAAATGTAACCGCCTTCCCATGGGCTTGAATGCCGCGCCTGCGACATTCTAGCACCTGATGGAGTTGGTACTGGCAGGGATACAGTGGGAGTAGGCCTTGGCAAGGTAATGTATAAGTTAAAAGGTAAAAACAACGAGCCTACCTTTACCCTACCTTTTACCTTAGCACAATATAATCATTCTACCCTTACATTTTACCCTTTAGCAGGTAAGGTAAACGGTAAAAGGTTAAAAAGCAACGTGCCTACCTTTACCCTACCTCCCAATGTGGTATCAACTGCAAACTTGGTATACTTATGTCATACTGATGACAATACTATATTACTGTATATCATTAAAAATATATATATTTTTAACATCATATTGTATATGTTATGTTTCGGCTTGGGTCTAATTGTCGACGCTCAACTGACGTTGGCTGTAAATCACCACGGCCCCTTACGTTATGGCAAGCCTCGGGGCCACTTCCTGGAGTCGTGGAGTTCTGCCATTACTCGTACATTTAATAAAAGCGTGTTTTTAATCAAGTTTGTTTTAATATTACTTGTTAAATGGAGGCCACGGACTGCGCCACGGAGCTTTTGGCGGTAAACAAGGCACCGTATTTACCGGGTAATACTTCAGGCTATCTTTACCCTACCGGGTAATTCTTCCGAGCTACCTTTACCCTACCCTTTACCTTACCCCTTGATATGTGGACACCTTTACACTTTACCTTTACCCTTTTACCCGGTAAAAAGGGTAAATTACCTTACCTTGCCGAGGCCTAAGTGGGAGACGTGCCTCATATATTTGGACGGCATTATTGTTTTCAGTCGCAATTTCGAAGAACACCTTCAAAGGCTGGAGGCTGTTTTTCAAAAGATGCGGTCTGCCGATCTCAAATGTAAACCAAAAAAGTGTAATTTGTTGCAGCATTCCGTCCGTTACCTCGGACACATTGTCAGCTCTAGCGGTGTCTCCACTGACCCTCGCAAGACTTCATGTGCCGTGAGTGGCCGACGCCCACTTCCGTAGGCGACGCGCGACGGTTCATAGGCTTTGCATCCTATCATCGCCGGTTCGTTAAGAATTTTGCGTCGTTGGCGAAGCCTCTGCATGTCCTGACGGGAAAGAATCAGAGATTCAAATGGGGTCCAGAGGAGGAACTAGCTTTCCAATCTCTCCGAGATCGATTGGCCTCCGCGCCGACACTCGATTACCCGGATTTTTCGCAACCGTTCATCCTGGACACGGATGCTAGCGACACCGGCATCGGTGCTGTTCTGTCTCAACGGAAGGACGGTGTTGAACGAGTGGTGGCGTATGGCAGCAGGGTTTTGTCTCCCGCCGAAACTCGCTATTGTGTCACTCATCGGGAGTTACTGGCGATCGTCCATTTTGTTCGCCAGTACCGGCCGTACCAGTATGGTAGGAAATTCCTCGTGCGCACTGACCATGCGGCCCTGCAATACTCACTGAAATTGGAACAACCGTCTGGACCATTGGCTCGATGGTTGGAATTGTTGCAGGAATTTTCTTTTGACGTAACATACCGTAAGGGTACCCGTCATGGCAATGCAGATGCTCTCTCCAGATTACCCCTCCGGGGTGGAATATTTTTCTCGTTGGCCTATGGCCTGGCCCCTACCCGACCAATCTGCTTCGTCCATCACCGACGCTTTCTTGAATGGGTACGTGATGGACAAGGGGGCTCCGGAGAAGTTACTTACGGATCAAGGCCGTAACTTCTCCTCTAAATAACTCCGGGATGTATGCGCTGCTTTGGGTACGAAGAAAATCCGCACTTCCCCTTACCACCCACAGACGGATGGAATGGTGGAATGATTTAACCGTACCCTTTCGGCCATGCTTTGTCAGACGGTGAGTGAAAAGCAGACCGACTGGGACTTGCACATACCTGGCTTTTTGTCTGTTTACTGCATGGTCCCGCACGCGTCCACGGGGTATTCGCCATTTTTTCTTATGTATGGGCGGGAGAACGCGCCTCGGATTGATGTGCAACTGGGTACAGCCGTGAAGGAACCCTTCCCTTCCTTGCCTGAACACGTCCGTGATTCGCTTCGGCGTGTTACGGAGGCGCGAGAAACCGCCAGGCGTGCAACGGCCCGGACACAGGCCCGGAACGAGAGATACGTGCGTCGATCGCGACGTGACATGCCTTGGGCGGTGGGCGACGCGGCGTGGCTCCATTGCCCTCAGGTGCCTGTGCGTACATCCCTTAAACTGCACAGGCCTTGGCAAGGGCCCATTAAACTAATAGAAATCCGCAATCCCCAAAGTGTTCGCATCCAGTATGGGCTGCGTCGTTGGTACGTGCACTCGTCGCGGTTGAAACCTTATTTAGAACCACGCACTGGCCCTTCATCCCCACTTGCTGACCTGCCGGGGTCTGATGTGCCTGACGTGCCACTTGCCTCGCCGACTGATCCCCGGCGGGGACTTGTTCTACCCCCCGCAGACGCACGGG